AAGGAGGGAAATGGGCTGTGCCATCCTCTGGCAGGCTTTCTGTGGTCCCCAGACCAGGCTGAAGCCTCTCCTCCTCAAGCGCTCCAGGCTGCCTTCACCACAAACAGGCAACGCTTTGGGCCGGGCAGGGGTGCAGGCAGGGCGAAGTGGGGGTGCAGGCAGGGTGAAGGGCTGGTGCTGTCCCTCTCCGCGGGGCAGGAGGGACGTGGCTGGCTCCACCACTCCCCCAAGGTCCCCTGTGCCGCGTTTCCATCCTGAACGTAAAAAAGTCGGCTGCCTGCGGCAGATGACCAGCAGCCAGCTGGTGGTGAAGGTAAGGCTGCAGCGACACGGTGGCACGGGTCAGGCTGGCAGCAGGACCCCGGTGTCACTCTGCGTCCCTCCCCATCTCTCCGGCAGCTGGAGCCCGACAGCCTCCTGGTCTGGATCCTCGCCGGGGCCCTGGGGCTGAGCTTGGTCTTCTCCTTCGTGTCGGTGCCAGCACAGTGCTTCCAGCTGGGCAAGGCGTACGGCGTCTGCCTCATCCTCTACTACCTGGCCTTCCTCTGCGTGGCCCTGCTGACCGAGTTCAGGGTGATCCGTCTCTCCAACATCTGACCCGTCCCGCCGCCGGCAGGAGATGCACACCCATCCCTGGCTCTCGCTCTGCCCTCCCCGCCGGATCGGGGCCTCGCTGTTCCCCTCTCGCTGTCCCTGCCAGGGGGACAAGGGCACCTTGACCCCAACCGTGCTGCTGCCACCACATGCTGGAGGCACCACGTGCCAGCCCAGCCGTCGCCTTCCGGAGCAGGGTGGGTTGTTTGTGCTTTGGGAAAGGAAAAGGAGCCGTTAGTCATTACCTACATCCTCTCCCCGCTCTGTTTAATCCTATTTTAACTCAAGGTGGCTCTGAGCAGGAGCGCTTCCTCCGGTCGTGGTGGCAGGGGCAGAGGAGAGGGCAGCTCCAGCCCGGGGTCACAACAGGAGAGGTTTTACCTCTTCAGCCGCTTTACTTTCCCTCCCTGCCTCCCCCCTGGCTGCTGTGGGACAGGGCTGGGGCAGTCGTGCCACGCAGGGTAACTCTGTGAAGGTCCGAGCACAAGTTGGTCGTTGCCAAGGACGTGACGCGTTCGCACGTGGGTTTGAAGCAGCAGCCGAGGCAGAACGAGATGGGGTTAAGGTGAGGCAAAGCTGCGGGGCAGTGCTTGGTTTTAATGCAAGCAAAGCTGGAGCGAAAAAACCCAAACAACAAACCAAGTGAGGCTGGTTTCCCCCGCTTTTTTTAAGCTATGTTTTTCAACCTGAGTTTCAGATCCTACTTTTCCCCTCCTCCTACCGTGGATGGAGCTGTAGGGAAGGACTTGGAGTTTTCTACACACAGCGTTAACCTCTGGCAAGACTATGTTTAGGCACTGTAAAAAAAAAACCTAAAAAAAAAAAAAAAAAATTTGCAATAAAAAACCCAACCTCGACTTGTGGCGTTTGCTGGGAGGGTGTTTTCTCTTGCTCTACGCCAGCGCTAGCACAGCCCTGACCCTGCCCGGTGCTTCGGGACGGGGAGAGCTGAGCCAGCAGCGGGGCTGGGGCTGACCCCCTCGGCCGTTGTTCCCCAGCAGCTCTGGGAAGTGGTTTCCTCTGGGTTCACCAGCCGTGGATTTCTCAACAGCGGTCACATGCGCCTGACTCGGCCGTTTAGTCGCCCGCCTGGGAACTGCAGCGTCACGGCAGCCCTGGCACGGGGTCAGCGGGGGCTGCGAGGGG